CCCGTGATGTCACTAGGCAGCTTTACCACGCCATTTGTAAGTTCCCCTCCCGAAATCACTATTCGAAACCGTTATCGTGACGTAAAATAAATACATTTATAGAAAGAACACCTTCCTAATTTTTTGTAAATTTGTTAACAATGAGCCAAATATTTTTTTTTAAAGAAATAAAAATTCAAAAAAATTTGGTCCCAAAGTCCAAAAAATACAAATTAAAGAAAACTCGATGTGTCATATATAAAAAAGCGTATTTTTCGAAATTTCAAAAATACATATCAATTTCTGTTTCATTGCAAGTTCAATGTTATATAACATTTGGCATTTGAATAATCCGTCTTAGAGTTACAGCCCGCCAAACTTAGCGCTGCAAAGCAAGATCCAAAAAATGTTATACGCCATAACTCAAAAAATACTTATCCGATAAGCCTGAAATTGTCACAGGTGGATTCAGATCCCCTGATTACCCCTGAGACCAATTCTCGTCAAATTTCGAGAGATGAGGGTGTCAAATTAGAAAAAAAGTGGTACGATCCATCGTGGAATGCCCCACCTATCGCCCTGCGCAGCTTGCTCAGTGTTTCGGCTAGAGTTCGGCCAAAGTGTCGGACGTCTGTCAATGTCACGAGGCGAAACCGCAAGGTAAATGTCCGTCCCGGTAGCTCGGTCGGTAGAGCGTTGGACTCCATGTCACATGTGCCATGTGGTGAGAGCGCACGTCCCGGTTGCAAAAGCCCGGGTTCGAAACGCGACGTGTGTTGTGACGTTTTTTAGCCTCCTGAAGGGTATGGTTGTGGTTGGTGGCAGGCCGCTGCCAGGCGAAGTCAGTGAGGGACCGGCCGTGCGCGGCTATGTGCGCACGTGAAAATTTGGACTGGCTAATTTCTGCCATAGACCAGGAATTGTTTGATCGGAGGGTAGAGAGCAGGATCAACGCAACAAGCTCAGCTTAGCGGGGACTTTGTCCTTGTGATTCCTTTCATTCAGAAGGTTCGGGCCAAATTCTAAAAAAGAGGGAGCCGAACCAGGTTGGGCCGGGTTGAACCCGGTTGGTCAGACAAAACAGAGGCTAAATTTTTACATATTAACTGATCTTATTGTTTTAGCTTACACGTATATTAACTTTTAGCTTTTTTAACTCGAGACTTCATGCACAAAAATGTGTCATTCGTCTACTTTTCCTCATCTTCTCTTAGCGACTTGATTTGACCTTAAATGTCCATCTTACCAGTAAAAAAAATCACCCGCGTGATAATTATTTGCCAAAGGGCGCTCTACGCAAGAAACGCCAGCCGGTCAATAAACTGGCGAACGATACGATCTTTCTATTGCTTGAATTATATTCAATGAAAATTTCAGGAAACATAAATAATATTAATCCTTATAGCTACTGGCGCCCGGAGCATTCGCTAGCATTGCATTGCCAGCTGCATTACCAACATCACATTTGCATTATTTTGGGTTCATCATAGTTGACAGTTGATGAACCGGCCACAGCAAACCCATGCCTCATTATCCTTTCCTTCCAAGCAGCCAACTGCCAAGCTAACCGGCCGCCCGGCCCACCACCGCGATATGGAATAACGCTGGACTGCGCCATTTGCCTGCGGCAGTGACCCCACCGCGCCGGGCCTGTTTCACAGGTCACCCGCACCGTGCCCTCGCCACCCGCTCCGCCCCCCTCCCCATCGGGCCCAGCTCGGTAGTGACCTCTCCTTGAATCTCACATGGACTCGACTGAGGCTCAACGCCATCTAATTTCGTCTGGAGATCCTTACTAGATCCACTGTACGGATATGAACGGAAAGTCGCAATCATATAAGGTCGATAGTTGGAAATTAGGAGGGGATCGGCTATTTTCGACCACGGATATTACTTTATCACATGATGAGGAACATGCTGATAAGCGTTTTAAGTATCATAACAGCACAAAAGTATTTTTAATCATTTTTCAAAAATAGCCGTTCCGCCATGTCTTTCAGTGCATGAGGTGCCGTTGGTCATCCTAGACGTCACCTCACGCCAGGGATTGCCAGATTTTCCTAAAGACTTCGACGCCCCCTGGTCTGCCTAATCATTCCTAAGCTCCAGAACCAGAACATACCCAGGATTGAAACCGCACATTACTTATGCTGTGGACTGTACCCTCACTCCGTGCGGGTACTATTTAGAAAAAAAATTGGGCACAAGTTTAACCCTCGCCCTATAGGGGGGGGGGGGGGCTCGAACGGACCCCCCTCGGTTTTCCGCGAATAACTCGCGTAAAAAGCGGCCGATCGCAACGAAACTTTCAGTACCCTCGCGTTAACCCGCGCCCTGCTGGGGGGTGTTTGAACACCCCCCTTGTGGTTTTTCGCGAATATCTCAAAAACGGCGGCGCTTGGTCACCTTATCATACATCAATTCTACACATGTTGTGAAAATTTCAGACCAAGGTCATTCAAGGTCAGGTCACCAGGTCACTTGAAGTGACCTCACCTCATAAAAGTTTCAATGTCTGTCATAGCTACACCGAGTGACTGATCGCTTTGAAACTTTCAGCGATTGCTAAGAGCAATAGCATATCCAAAATGTATATCTCAGAATTTTGATATCAATGACCTAAGGTCAGGTCAATTTTGCGACCTCCCCATTATAAGGCAATGGGAGAAAATTGAAATGCGCCTCTTTTGGACGAAAGACATTATAAACACTCCCAAACACCGAATTACAAGTGGTTTAGACACACTGAACATGAAAATGGTGTCCGTGACCCTTGTATATGTCCTGAGGTCATCTTAGGTTACGAATGGTATCTAACAGTTTTTCGCAAATAACTTTTGATAGAGGCATGCTACAGCAATGAAAACGTCTTAGATGTGTTCAGGTAGACGATACGGATCGACTGATATGCAACATGACCCTTTCCGGTCAGGTTATGACCTTGACCTGAGGTCAAATTTTCAAGTTGACCTTTCAAGGTCAATTTATAGTTCATTCGATGCGTCTTGACGAGAGGAACACGATGCCGGTAAAAGTAAGCTCGCACAAGGCTTGGGTCAAAAGTTATTGCAGAAAAACTGTTTCCGAAAAAATCGGCTATTTTTGCAGTTTTTGCCCCCTGCAGGCAAAACCGTTGACGTTAGGTCAAATCTGAGAGAATTATTCAGAAAGGGCGTTAATAGGGCTATCGAATGCGCTTTTCCGCGGCGCTGTAGCTCTATTGGTTCCCGAGTTATGCGTTGGCTTCTTGGAAATTTTCGACATTCGACCTGGAAATCGGCGAAATTTTGCCTTCAATGACCTCTGGTGACCTGACCTTTGACCTGACCAAAAAATTGACCGAAGTGATTTCGTCATTACTTTTGACGCTCTTTCGAACGCCGCCTTCCGCGTATCGCTACGTGGCCCAGGAGCCGAGTTACAAGGGGGGAGGTGTTCAAACCCCCCCCCCCACAGCAGGGCGTGGAAATCCAGGACCCCCAGCCGGGCGCGGGTTAATCAATTTTCACCTACCCTGAAATTTTCATGACCCTGACCCTAATGACCTTTGACCTGTGACCTACTTTTCGAGACCATGTTTGGCCGGAATCGCGATTCGGCTTATGTCGGCTCGCATTAGCCGCGCGTTTGCAGTCTTTTCGTGGTTTTAAGCGTTCAAACATGGGATATGATGTTGCTCCCATGCATTAGGGTGGGTGTCAAGGTCACCGGAAGGTCAGGTCAGGTCATTGACCTTTGATGACCTCGGTTCACTTTTTCGAGTTTTACATGTTTCTAGGCCAGTTTTTGGAGCTGAATTCGAATTTAGCAACCATATGAACATTTACGAAGTAGTTTTGGTGCCTTCGTAACATGTTACGAAGCTTTCGAGGCGGTTTCCACCTACTACGAATACCCTTACTGGTTGACCTGACCTGACCTGACCCGACCTGGCCTAAATGCATGAAGACATCATCTGTGATCAAAACTAACATGATTTTAGTGATCAGCACCCCGAAAAACCACTTAGCAGCCACGCTATACGACTTTCTAACTGGTCCCGATTTTCCCGACTTTCGGGTCATTGACCTGACCTGGAAGGTCAACCGATGACCTAGGACCTTAAAACTGGGTATCATTGGCTTCCTCTCGTCACGGGCAACACGCTCGTTTTTTTTCCGCGAAGCTCTAGCTCGAGCAGGGGCGAAACGACAAGCAGGGTCCAACGGACCCCCCCCCCCCCCCCTCTTCTACGTTCGCGGCTGGAAAAAAACACCAATACTCGTACGAGCGAGGGTTAAATATCCTTGGTAAATCTGGCCGAATAATGCCCGGTATACCAAGCATCCAGCGGAGTTAACTATATATGATATGCCCCAAACTTAACCTGTTTGTTGCCCCCCCCCCCCCCCCATCTTCCGTGCCCCTCCTTGATGTCAAAGCCCCAATGCGAACCCTTTCTCAGCGATGGCTTGGTGCGCGGTGCCAAAAATTTACTACAATAAATTTATTTGCACGATCCGAATACTATACGGTCGCTTTTCTTCAAGGGTGTTTTCATAGGTGGAGAATTGTGCTGGACTATGGGTGCTCGAGCTCTCCAAATTGCACGCCGGCTTGACTTTGGGGCCGCAACAGACGGCGGAGGTCAATGTCACCGCTAGGGAGGCGGTCGCGTGCGGCGGATTTGCTGCGCCCGAGCACCTATAGAACGACTCAATTCTTCATCTATGGCCTATGGGTGTTTTCATTGGATATGCTCGCAGGCTCGCACATTCAATCCGAAATTTGCACTCATTTTATTCGTGCAATTTTCGAAAAAAGCATCCTCACTCCGTTCGGGCACTATTTTCGACAAATTACTGGGAAACCGGCAGAATAATGCCTGGTATCATGCTCGGAACAGGCAATTAAATCTACATTAAGTGTCCTTTTATCAAGACTAGAATAGCAGATGTTTCCTCAGAGAGTTGCCATTTCCGAGAAATATGGTGAGACGTTTTACCACGGTGGATCACAGCCGTCGCTTTGCTCTGGTACAGAATCGGGCGGCCACGCTGGCCGGCCGGGAGCGGGCGCTAGCCCAGGAGACCACGGCCCGGAACGAGGCCGCCTTCTCTGAGCTCACTCACGAGCTCACCCCGGAGGTGAGTCGTCCCAGTACCGTACACCCGTCCCTGTACCGCGCCTGACGGGGAGGGGCGTGAACACTCCTTTTTAACTCTGCGCCTGGGTCACGTAGCGACGCGCTGTAGGTGGCGTTCGAAAGAGCGTATAAAAATAATGAAATAATTACTTCAGTCACTTTTTCAGGTCAGGTCATCTGAGATTATCGCAGGTTAAATCTCGCCAATTTCCAGGTTCCAGGTGGTCCCGTACATGACGTCTTAACCTCAATCCTGCAAAATGCCATGTCATATCCCTTTCCTTATGCAAATCCCCTATCATAGCCGCATACACACTAGACGGTACTTTCCTGCAACGCCGCAATGAAACTGGTGATCTAGGTGTGTTTCTCTACGTGAAACTGACGTTTGTTGGTCATATCGACACGACGACAAGCCATCGCCAGATCCAATCGCCTGCTCGGGCTGGTCATCCGCAGTATGCAGCCTCCAGGCGGCACAGCAGGGCCCGTCTCGACCACAGGGCAATGCTGTGTACCTATTACGCGCACGTGACGCAGTGTTGCCAGGTCGAGTGATGCCAATACCTCCAGATGTAAAAACCTCTAGATCCATACCTACCTCCGTATCACAAACCGTGGCGCTGTTTCAAAGCACGCTGCCATCCACTGCCAGGCGCGGATACAAGGGGGGGGGGGCCATGGGGGCCATGGCCCCCCCCTTGGCCTATTTTTTTCAAAAATAAAATAAAAAGTTAAAAAGTTAAAATGCTGAAAAGGGGGCCTCCTGAAAATAAAGTGGCCGAAATCCGATGACTTTTTTTTAACCTACCCACTTAGTTATTTCTTAGAAGACTAGCTGAGAAGACTTCTTTGTTAGAAGATTGGTAAAGCTTTTCATAACTTGGAGGTCTCTTATACTCACAGAGATGACCACTTTTACAGGGCCTCCTAACCTGCACAGAGGGCCTCCAAGCCTGCACAGATGTTGAGATGTTGCCTGAACAGCTAGATAAGCTCAATAGACGCAGTTTTTTTTGGGGGGGGGGCCCAACAAGTGGGAAGATGGGGCCTCCAACAGGTGGGATTATGGGGGGGCCTCCTGGTTTCTAATGGCCCCTCCCTTGGAGATTTTCTGGATCCGCCCCTGTCCACTGCCAGCGCGTGATGACATCATCAAGCCCATTGCTCCAACACTGCCAAAGGGTCTTTTCCAGTCGCACTTCCTAACACCTCTAAGCTCCTCCAAGATTGCTTCCCTGTTCCAGTGTCAGCTCTACTAGCCCCTACAAATCAGGAGGGTCCTGCTCCAACCTCCTCTATCTTGCTCTTGGAGGAGTTTAGAGGTGTTAGGAAGTGCGACTGGAACAGACCCAAAGTGTGACGTCAGCGCGCTGGCAGCAGCTGGCAGCGGGCTTTGAAACACCCGGTTGTATCCCCAATCAAGATAATTCACTCATTCTTCGCATGCCTTCGCATTTGTCCACATAACTTGGTGGACTTGGTGCCCACCGTGGGTACCAGGCTTACATAGCTTTGGTGCCCGCGTGTAAATAGCCTTGATGCCCACGGTGCCCACGGTATATCGAGAACTTTTAGCTGCAGCCGGCGGCCAGAGCCTCAATAGTGAACAAGTCAAAAGTAGGTTATTCGTTTCCATTAATCTGTAAAAAGTGTGTTAAAGCATGCAATACTTAAGGATAATAACATGAAATTATGAGTGCGTTCTTTGAACAGATTTCACGTGAAATTTCACGTGGAATCGGCAATCAATACGTTCTTTGCGGATTCCACGCGGAATTTCACGTGAAATCCCGTGGAATTCCACGTGATTTCACGTGAAATCCCGTGGAATTCCACGTGAAATACGGGAATCGCAAAAGCTTGTCCCGAGCGTTATTTTCAAGATGGCGACGCCCAGTGAATCAGGGAAATTGAATGTGTTTGATATTTACTGGTTCTGAGGGGGCCGTGAGGCTCATTGCAGCTGTATAGATAATGTTCGAATTCATTTTTCTTTATTTTCGGGCTTCACTTTGGTAAAAAGACAAATAATAAAAAACAAATATTTTTGCTTTATTTAGATGCCAGGTTAACTGGTTTCCAGTGATGTTATTTTTTCAATTCCAGTGAATTATTTAATACCCAGTGTTCCCCGAAAATAAATAAATCAACGATGAATATTTTCAAAGGAAAAATTACACGCCTAAAGGAACTATCCCACCTTCTAAAATGTTGTTAAAACCAGTTAAATTGTTCCCGACTTTATAGATTGGATGACCAGGAACACGGTTCTGGCATTTATTTTTCATTAAACGTCTTAGGCTTCCCATATTCCCAACACAATCTTTCAAATATGTGACGTCACAGCCCAAAATTACCTCCTTCCCCAGGCCACATTACTGTCATAAAGCTGATTCTTTTTACTCTGTAGGCACCACAACAAAGTTCAGACCAAGTTTTCAGCGATTTTTCAACGAACAAACCCATTTAAATCAGAATGACTAAACGAGGTGACGTCACACTAACGGTCGCTCCATGTTGAAGATAGGGCCTTGCGCAAGGCCCATTTTCAAATGAAGGGAACGAATTTCTTCAACACCAAGAGGCCACGGGGGTTGCAACCTAGATAGATAGTGGTTTCTGAACCTCGCCGCAAACTTGGCTATCTCAACTCAAACCCCATGTTAAAGGTGGGATAGTCCCTTTAAATCAATGCATATTTCACAACTCTCGGTATATTACATTTATGAAGCCTCTGCGACCATTGCGCCGCGAAATTCCGGTGCGGACGGCAAAGAACGCATCAGCTGACTGAGCCGTGAAATTTCACGTGAAATTAATTTCACGTGAAATTTCAGCTCAAAGAACGCACCCTATGTACCTAAATAGTTCTCAATAGACTTTGACGCTAATTGTCTTTTCTCGCATTTTCAGATTACCTCTAGAAAACCCTCTAGAATCCGGCATTTTTCATAAACCTCCAGGAGCCCCGAAACGGTCCCCCAAAACCTTTAGATCTGGAGGTTTACCTCTAGACCTGGCAACACTGCGTGAGATCGATCTTAGAGTACGGTCGTGTGGTGTGGGCTGGTGCTGCTGTCACTCACCTGAAAAGACTGGAGAAAGTGCAGCAGAGGTGTTCATTTAAGTCTCGCGTCATAGTTTTTACAAAAACGCTGGGCGCCTATGTGTAACCGGCTGTGATGTTCTTTTTTATCATGTTTTTTTCATTACTTTTATGCATGTTTGTTCATACCTAGCTACATATTTTTTCTCATGTGATTTTATGCTCATCACTGTCATTAAACGTTTTTATCACTATTGACTTCGTCTGTAACTGGTTACGATGGCCTGTAGACGATCTACTTAATACAATACCATCAGGGCTTCGTCTAAGAGATTTTCACTGGGGTGGGGGGTTGGGGGCAGAGACTCAAAGAGCCCAATCTAGGGTACCCCCAAATCATGTTTTCTCATCGGATTTAGGTCACTTATTTTTCGTCACAGCTCTGACACCGTTTTTTTTAACTTGAAACGGAAAAAGAAACGTGGGACATCCGAGCCATGCTTTTGCATTAGTTTGCTTATCATATCAGCCTCGAAGGCTGAACTGTTGATCTGAGTTAGAATTTAACGACCTGCTCCCGTTATGGGCATGAGAGAGCCATTATTTCTTTGTATGCGCTTCTTGATTCCTCTGGTTTGTGCGAGGTAGAGTTACAACATTTCAAAATCAAATATTTTCTGATTGAGAATAACCGAGCCAAATCGACAATTGATGCCCTCCAATGGACTGAGAATCGGCCTTTTCTTAGCCAGTCAATACGAGCGAATGCGAGGGAAAGCGGTAAAGGCGGTCTTTTCAATTCGAGTATTAAGTATACTGTCTTTTTTGCGGACGGATGATTGAAGGTAAAGTTGGGTCCTGAAACGGGACCCTGCGGCCTGCACTGTGCTCGTGCTAAATCGTAAAGTTAAAGAGCTCACGCTGAGCTCTGTCGGCTCCAAATCAGTCTATGTAGTCTGTTGGCCAACTGATCGCTTGAGATCTCAGTGCCAGCCTTTGAGAGCCGCACGTAGGTTCCTGACAGACGAGCGCCATGCTGGCTTTTTAGGCCTCATGACGACCTTTGATAGCCTATTTTAGCTTGAAATGATCCTGCAGGACATGCGCCATTCTCCGACGACTCTACACTGGTATCCGAGGTCCCAGGTACCTTGTAGCTTATCAAGTGTCCCAGACTACCTATGTGGGCCTTCGCCGGCTGGCGGGCGGCTCCTGTGGGCCTTATGCCGAGGGCCCGAATGTTTTTTTGTGTGAATCGTTTTCTGATGGGTCCCCGCCTACTTTTTAGCGCCCGATGCCGCTCTCGCAAGGCCCTATATACCAGGTAGGGTCGTCCGGCGATTCTACCTTTTCGGCGTCATTTGGAGTCAAGTCTCGAAGCCCCGTTCAATCCCCATGTAAATGAGCGATTTTCGAAGCACTGTAGAATGAAGTCTGCACAAGATATATCAAACCTAAGTATCTTATCTGAAAGAGCAGACAATTTTCTGCAAGTTATCTATTACGTGTTTTTCGCTAAATCTTTTGCTTTTTTCACAAAAGCTTAAAATGTCCCCCCATGTCTCCGCAGCTCTCTGCCGCCGGCCGCCGCGCGGTCGCGGTAGTGTAGTGGTTAGCGTGCCCGCGCAGTATTCCAAAGGTCCCGAGTTCGAATCTATGCGGTGCGGAACTTTAATTGCAATTCCAAGCTGAATATACGCACATCCATAATAAATTATTATTCGTATAGCTAAACTGTCACCAAGCTATCCATATAAATTGACTTCACCCAAAATATCGGCAAGATTCTATTAAAATATAAATTCAAAAATGGCGGCTTGGACTGCCGCGTGCGTTAGGCTCCGCCCATAGCTCCGCCCACATGCGTGACGTCATTCGTGTTAGTGGACACACGCGGAGATAGGGGACGACATGGGCCTGCGCTCTCGGAGGGCCAGTGGCCAATGGCGACT